TTGCTTCTTGTCTCCATCTTCGAAGAATAAAATGGTTAGGTAGTGTATCTATATCAAGACGGACAAATACTTTCAACAAATGTCAACAAAGTATTCCAACAAACTTAAAATTTTGGCATTCACACATACCTTTGTATGTTTGCAAATTTAACTTCACCACAAACTCTTCATGCTCTCTAAGTTTTGTTTTCACTAGGTATGCATGATATTCGTCATCACATGGCATTTCTTCAACTTTGTAAAGATTAACTTTACTCCATTCATCCTTGAACTCGTTCAAAACATTTCTAGTATAGAACTTCGATGCATGTTTCAAAAGGAATTCTCCTTCTTTCACAATGTGATACTTGTGTTCTGATTCAAAATCTTCATCACTTTCTCTATCCATGATCCTCTTCAGTGCTTGCTCATATTTGACAACACACTCTCTAAGATTTGTTGTCTGTGAAACAAATCCATAAAAAAAAGAATTAATACCCTCACTACGTCCAGTAGTGTTCATTCCTACAAAAAAATATGTCACCATTATAAACAAGAACCCAAGAAGAACATATTTCATATTCAACCAGTCATCATTATCCAACTCACATTCTTTCATCAATTCCTTCCACTTTTCTTCAAATTTCTCTATCTTGTATGTTGACTGAATACGTTTCTTCATCTGAATTTTGAATTTGGACTTCTTGAAGTACACATGTGACAATTTTTCTACAAACTTATTCTTAATATGCCAAAGGCATAACTAATGGCGAGTGTTAGGAAAAATCTTGGCAATTGCTCCTTTCATTGCCAAGTATTGATCAGTAATAATGGAAACTGAATGATGTCCTCCTATTGCTTCAAGCCATGTCTCAAACAACCACAAAAATTTCACCTCTGTCTCATCTTGTAAAAGTGCGCACATCCAAATTTTATTGATTGCAAATGGTGGTTTACTCCTGTGAATGGTGCAAATGGCATATCACACTTGTTTGTCCTATAGGTTGTGTCAAATGTGACTGCATCTCCAAAATAGTGGTACGCCATGTGTGATCAAGCATCCACCCAAAAGAAATTAGCTGCCCTTCCATTTTCATCACACTGAATGGCATAAAAAAAATTGAGGATTCTCAGCTTGTTTCTTCCTAAAGTAAGGACTGATTGTGCATCACCTCCATCCAGTTGTCTATGCCACACATTTCTCAAGTGGTTATAACAATCTCTATTGTTAAAACCAATATGTGGACCACCACGGATTGAAGGAACTTTTGCAATTGGCAAATTTTCTTGATGAAATGTTTCAGTCAAAATTGTAGCTGCTTTTGGCATAACCTTATTTGACTTCATTTTCATTCTTCTTTCTAGTGTAACTAGCTTGTGATTGTGAGAATCTTGGAAACTTGAAACTTTTCATTTGCTTGACCATCTATCAAGCTTAATTCGCGTACTTGCTTTGCGTCCACATTTCACCGTAGAACAATTTTTACCTGTTCTCTTCATATTCTCAATCTCACTTATGTCTCTCTCATCATTCTATTCTGAAGCCTTTTGTGATGTATTTTTGGGCACGTTTTTTGATATAATCATTATTTCGTACATTTTTTTAACTTTCTCTTAGATCTTGCTATGCTCGAGTGAGTTTAGTCCATTTTTACTTAGTTTTGTATTTTACTAGGTTTGAAGAGTAAAGCTGGAAAAGCAAGCAAAAAGAGAAATTTTGGGATTGAAATATGATGTGCAATCCTAGGAGTAGAATATGCTGTGCAGATCAGACAAATTTAAGGATTATACTGTACTTCCTCAGAGCAAACCAGATGTTGATCTTTATATCATTGGAAAGATACGGACGTTAGCTTTCTGTAGAATTTTGCAGTTCATGATTCGGATGTGTGTGGAGAGAGTTGTGGCCGTTTTAGTACAGACAGTTCGGGGAGAATGTATTCTGCGAGTTTTGCATAATAATCCTTTTGAAGTTCAATCCTTGGACTCCAATTTATATATATTGCATTTAGGAAGTGTCTACAAGGATGTAGGGCTATGTTCTAAGGTCTGATCGTATATTTAGTAGGTTTTGGATGCCAACTCATCAAAGACAATTGAAACGAAACTAGGAAAGCGGAGTTACCAAGTCAAAAGAGGATTTGTTCATTATTTAAAGAAAACAAGAAAATAGGGTTCAGAGATGCTAGAGTTGAAGAGTCAAAGAGCCACTGCATTTGTCAAGTTCTCGAGCATCATCACAATTTTATGTTTTCTAGTTTTTCAATTATGTTTTCTTTGAATATGAGTAACTAAATTATTATTTAGGGCGAGGATGACGCCCTAGCATGGATAGTTATGATTTTTAATGTTATTTAATGGATTCTTAGTTTCTTTTAGATGAATGTGTAATCACTATTTTAATTGTTGCTATTTGTTTTAAGTTCTTTGATTGATCACCTTAGGGCTTTACGTCTAGTAAATTGGAAGATGAATTTGAGGCAGAACTCACAATATAATTCAATTAGCTTCTTGTGATTAAGTGTGGTGAATTACATTATTGCTTAATGAAGAATAATGGTTTGCTTGGTTCTCTCGTTTTCTAGAACGATGGAACTTAGAAAAACATTATACATATGTTCAGTAGCGGGGCCAAAATTGTCTGTGTGGGGGGCCGAACAATAATACAAGTATAGAGAGAAAAAAAAAATCAATCTTACATCAATAATATATATATATAAAAGAAAAAATGGACATTTTTAAGAACTTTGTACTCAATTTCATGTATCAAAATGGAAAATTCTATTGATAAAATCTCATTCCCCTTTAAACTATTTATTTTATATTCCTTTCTTTTTGTTAAACTATTTTCTATTCCCTTGACTCACCGGTTTGATTATTAGAGGATTAATACTTTCCTTTTTTATGTTAGTTGTGTAATGGGCCCACAAACATTTTACATATAATTATAAATGAAGTTATTATGGATTGCAATTTGGGGGCCGTTAGAATGGTTATATGATTTGCAACACTTTGCATAAATACTACCTGAACTTTGTAAAGTGTTGCAATCCACCACCTACGTCTAACTCCGTTAAAGTTTCAGTTAAATTTAAGGGTATTTTCGTCAATGAACTATAACTAAAAATAATTATATAAAAAAACAGAATTAAAAATACAAAAAAAATAAATTTAACCTCCTTATCTCTCTCTCTCTTCTCTCTACTCCATCGTCTTTATTCTACCAAATATCATATCAGATTGCAATGGCCCATAGATTTTGTTGCCCTCCTATATTTCCTTTTAAAAAAAACAAAAACAAAAAAATTTATAGCCAAAGCCTTCCTGCATTCATTTCATGGCTTGCACTATTTGTTCAAAGGCTTGTCCTTCATTTTAATGGAAGTTTGCATATTAAAAAAAAAAAAAATTAGACTACAATTACTCTCTCTCACCCTCAATCCAGCAAATTCAAAAAATTTAACATCAAAGCTAGAATTTAAATTTTGTAACTTCATCATGAGTTTTGGGAAGGAATCAATTGCATTCCTAGTACATATAAATATCCCAAAAAGGTCCTAAACATCTGTAATTGACAAACAAGTTCTAGGAATGCCTAAATTTAAGTACCAACACACCAGTGCATTCTTTATATAGGACATGAGATGCCAAGAGACAGAGATGAATATAGAGTATGGTGTGTGTAGAGGGTGGGTTTTGGGAGGGTGAGTTTTTTTGGTGTGGAGCGAATCGATGTTGGAAAAGTAGGAGTAGGGGTAGGGTGAAGGCACTGTAATTAGGTTATATATATATATATATATTAAATCCGTTCTTTTATATAATTATTCTTTGTTATAGTTAATTGACGAAAATACCCTTAAACTTAACAGAAATTTTAACGGAGTTAGACGTAGGTGGTGGATTGCAACACTTTACAAAGTTCAGGTGGTTAAAAAGAAAAATTAAAAGTTCATATGGTAATGACGCACATACTTGAAAGTTCAAGAGGTTTTTATGCAAATTTCCCTAATTATAAATGAAGTTATTATGGATTGCAATTTGGGGGCCATTAGAATGGTTATATAATTTGCATTGTTAAATGTATGAACTAAAGCCCAAGCTTTACTGTGTTGAGAACAAATTGTTAAGGGACCAGGCCACCTTAGGCCCTAGAGTACCTCCGCCCCTGCATATGTTAATAAGATTTATATGAAAATGAAGAATATGATTCTCTATGTATTTTAACGCAAAAAAGAAATTATTTAGCATGTGAAACACCTATATCTTAATGCAAGATGAAATATAATGGAGTAGACTATCATACTGATTTCAAAAAATAATTCTTATGTTAAAAGATTATTGTTTGTTAATTATATAACATTGTATTTATAAAATATATAAAAATTCAGCAATCCTAATTATCTATAGAAAGGGCAACAATAAAGATTAAAAACAAAAAACAAAAAGATAAAAATCTCAAATGAAGGTAACATACCAAATGCACTGAGAGTTGGAGGAAATATCTTGTGTGGAGAAATTGCTTTGACATAAAAGAACTATATTGAAGATAAATTCATGGCTGCATATGCTTGTGTGTTAAGACTCCTTACGGTTAAGGCATTTAGTTTTTGGTGAGATTCTTTATTTATTACACTTTAATAAATATTTGATATTAAAGAGACAAGAGAGATTACGTCTCCAAGAAAAAAAGTTGGAAAGAGAAAATTCTTTTGCTTTACTTTTATGAGAGAGAATAAAATTAATGATTGTCTATTTAAAAAATTAAAACTACTTGTCATGTCATGTTTAATCTCAATTATTGAAAATTGAGTAATCTAATGGCCCAAAAATTGTGTCAAAACTTGTGTCAAAAACATAGTGCCATGAATCCGTGCAAGCAAGAAACAAGGGAAATCAGACCAAATTAAAAACAAATCCAAAATGATCCTCGACTGCCTTGAATCACCAAAATGATCAAGAATATTGATCCTCGACTGATTTTCTCAAATTTGGACTTCCAAACTCATTTTCTCGTGAGAGAGTTTTCTAATCATTATCTCACAAAATAAAATATTATCGTGTGTAAATCATTGTAAGTATCTCCAATAAATAATTGTATGAATCAAATCGTATCGTCTAAATTCACACCAAAAAGAAGAACAAATTGTCTAATTCTAAAACAAAAATTAAAGCGCATAACAAAACTAAGCATATTCCATTATTCTACCAAGGATCCACGCCGTAATCACAGTCCCTAGACACAATGCTGGCGTCTGCTGTCAGTCTATTGACAGTTAAGTGACAGGCAACCTTGACGGTAATCGTCCACGTCTTAATGGGCCCCACTTTAATTCTAACGGGCGCTCTCAGGTCCAGATCTAACGGCACCTTCCCTTGCTTCTGCGCATCCACTAAGCCCTTGTGCACTGCGCTCGTCAGTTCGATCCCGGACCCCGTTAACGCCGTTCGAAACTCTGTTACGTTCTTTGACGGCTGGTAAAACGCCGGCAGAACGCCGTCACACAGTTTGATGTCGGAGTAAAAGAGCTTGACGGAGCTCTCTCTCTCGTAGTAGATCCCGATCTTCTTGTTAGGGTTCTGGGCCCGGACGGTGACGTGGATCTCCGGCGAGATGGCGGACGGCAGGGACGACGTCGTTGTGAGGTTGAAGCCTTTGAATGCGATGCTCTCAACGGAGTAGTTGGGGGCCTCGGGGCGGACGACGAGGTAGAAGATGCCGGCGGCGGCCGCGGAGAGGAAGACGATGGCGGCGAGGAGGCCGAGGAACCAGCAGCAGCAGCAGTGGCAGGAGCTCCGGCGAGGCTTCCGGTGAGTGTAGCTCTGGTAGCGGCTGGCATTCTCCGGCGGCGGGACCCGGTAGACCTGGTCCTTCGGGATCTGGATGACGTAGGTGCCCGGCGGAGGGACGGGCTTCTCGGAGTCTGGCGGGGATGGCCTTGATAAGGACAACGGCGTCGTTTCGGTGTGAAAGGGCGAGTCGCGCGGGTGGACTCGGTCGGCCATTTGGGGCTGCAGTGAAATTGAAACGAACTACAGAGAGTGAGAGGTGGGCGGAGATTTTTGTCTGACAAATGAAGCAAGCAGGCCAGAGAGAGCGAGGAGAGAGAGTAAGATGAGCTTTGATGTATTTTCGGTTTTTATTTATACATACTGAAACCGCGTTCGAAAAGGGTATAAATGGAATTTTAGAAAAATAATTCGCTGATTGAAAATTTTTCGCACACGGACTATACAATTAGGTCAGTAATTATGATTTATTTTTTTTAATTTTAAACGAGGATAATTAAAAATATTTACCATAAATGCATTTCTAATTCCAAAACGAAGGGAATTAAATTGATTGAGGGACCAACGAATTGCATGATCTGAAAATGGAATTTGAAAACAAAAAGGAATAAAAAATTGGGGAGGAGAGGACATTCTTTTGAAATACTTATTTATTTATTTATTATTTTAAAAATGCATAGGTTGTGACAGGAAAGCACTAGTGTCGTCTACACGTATAATTGAAAAGTGCTTTAGGATTTATAGTTGGGCGCACGTTATAGACAAAACAATTCAATAATTTCCAGATTTTTTGGTAATTTCTCTTTTCCCAAGTTTAATTGATGACATCTTTTGACAAATATGGGAGAAGGCCAAAAATTAATTGACAAATGAGGTATGCTAAAGATTAGAAAGTTGGCTTAGTGGTGGACGTGCTCTTCACTCTGCACCTGAGTTCGAATTTCTCTTTTCGTAGTTTAAATTAGTTTAAAGTAGAATATTATTTGTATTTTCTCTTTTTCCAAGTTTAATTGATGACATCTTTTGACAAATATGGGAGAAAACCAAAAATTAATTGACAAATGAGGTATTCTAAAGAAAGTTGGCTTAGAGGTGGATGTGTTCTTCATTTTGCACCCGAGTTTGAATCTTCCTCTCCGTTAGGGATGGTAACAAGCCGGGTAGGGGCTAGGTATGGCAATACCATCCCCGTCCCAGCTTCCCATCCCCGACCCGTCTCCTCCCCCATCCCAGTTTAAGCGGTTTCGGGGAATTCCCGTCCCCGTACTAGTCGGGGCTATCCCCCATCCCCGGTCCGAATTTTCCTATTTTTTAAAATGATCTTTATGTTTCCAAGACAATCTCCCTTCCCGTAGTTTAAATTAATTTAAAGTAGAATATCATTTGTATAAAAATCAGAAAGTGAAAATCATAACATAGCCTGAGCTTATTTGTGGTTGGCTATTTCCTTCTTAAAGTAAACGTATGATCACATAAGTTTGATTCAAGTGTTAATGAAGAACAAAGAAGAAGAAAAAAAGAAATTGAGGAGGAAAAAGAAGTTAAGATGAATGGATGACAAAGGAAATTAGATGAAGAACAAAATGGGCAAGAAATATATAAACATACTAGTACAAGTATAAAGGAAGGAGATTTACCTGATGAAGAAAGTTGAAAGCCGATAGCTGAATGAGAGAGAGAGAGAGAGGCAGAGCAAACCAAACTCTATAAGCTATTAGCTATATATAAGGTAGCTCTCAAGTCTTGGATTAGGTAGCTGCAATAATGCCTCAGTCTTTACGGAGTATGCCAACTGAACGAGTCTCTGCTTTTCATGCATCTATATATGGAATTCTGAGTCTCTGTATTTAACATCGTGCGTTTAAACGGATTAAAAAAAAAATTAAAGAAAATTTAATAGTCTGACTGAGTAAGAAGGGTTTGGTTAGGTTGAGTTGGGTATAGTTCATTCCTTCTTCTTCATGTCAATTTTTTTTTTAATTATTTATTGTTTAAGTAAACAAAATCCCATCTTAATAATTAGCTTTATCTATGCAAGAAACTGGAGAGAGAGAGAGAGAGAGAGAGAGAGAGAGAGAGAGAATGCGTCAACTTTGAAGGAAGTGTTCAAATAAATGTCTTTATCTGCCTCGTCCTCAACTGATTTAGAGTGCGTGTGCAGGCGGGGCACAGGCAGGCGGGCAGGCAGGCTTGCATTGCAGCTGTGAAAGATATTATGGTATCAAAACGTTGGGCTAAATGGCAGTTGGCACACGCTTCCTTACCAACACACTCTTTTCTTTCTTTCTTCCTTTCTTTCTGCTTGTTTGCAACCGGTACAACACACGCTTGTCTTTTAAGATTGGCTATCTTTCCTACGATATATCCTACTTTCACATCTCCAATATAAAAATAATTTCAATGCAAAGGCATTTGTATTCCATTCACATTTTTGGATGTAAAATTTATAATAGAAGCGTTAGTCTAAATTATTTTAAATTAATATATTGCACATGTAAAGGAATCTAACTTCGGTAGAAGGGGGCGGGCGTACTACCCTTATTGTCAATTGGTCTAACCACATGTGTAATAATGTAGTTTCTGCTACAATGGGAAGATGTTAATGTGAATATGTAAATTTAGATTTTCACGTATAAATTTATTTTTATTTTATCTTTGATTTTTCTTTTTCTCAATAAATAGATTAAAATTTTTAAAATTCCTATTAGATAGGATTTCGGCAAGATAAGATTTTATCTCACATCAACTATTGGATCAAATAAAGTATATTCAATATCATCTCTAAATTCTGGAGAAAAAAATATATATCATCTCTAAATTGCACAAAATTCAAGATCTGATATGACAATATTTGATCTCATCTAAAATTGTTGGATGAGATTCTATCATCTCCGGCTCAACACTCTGATTCTTATATGTGACATCATCCAAATTATCTATAAACATCAAAGTTTTCTTAGTCTCTTAACAATTTCTCCATCAAAATCATCCATCTATTATCTGAATATAATTCTCCTCCGCTATACTACAATGAGGCAACGAAACTTACTTGACTCCAATTCCAAAGATGAAATGATGGTAGACATGAACGCATTGAGGGATAGCCAAGAAAAATAATCCAGACAAGGCCAGACGTGGTGGTTTGTCGTCAAGGGTATGTACCAAGAGGATGATATGCTGTACATTTGTGCCTTATGAAATAATGTTTTGGTGCCACTCCTACGTTGTTGTCAAAATAAAAGTATTAGTTCCAAAAAATAATATAAGATATCTAATAAATTAGTAAAATCATTGGATCCACTCTTGTATGGGAAAATTCCTAAACTTCTGTTCTTTGGGTGGTAAATGCAGTCACCCCTAATAATCGAGGTGGTGTTTGTATAAAATTCTCCTTTAAAAAAATAGTATCAAGAAAAGTTATCGAGATTTTAAAGGACATAATTTGGCATTGTTGTGCTATGAAAACAAACTCAAGATGTCTCGTTTACCCGGGTGGGCAACTCAGACCCAATCGAATTGAGGCCCATAGAAAAAGCACAGAGGAAAAAGAAACAACAAAACAAAAACAAAAGGCCACTGAAATTAGAGACGGATACGATTAGAAACAGTGCAGTTTTCTCTCTCTAACAATAGTTGATCTGATGCAGTATGCAGCGGAGTCAGAGTGAGCAATTGGTGAGGCGATGAGAGTGTGCAGCGGATGGCGTCGTTTCCTCATCTTTCTCCCTCTTATTTTCATTCTTCCTCACTTCTTCTCCGGTGAGCCTTCTGTTCTCTTTCTACTTTTTTTTTTATTATATTTATTTTCCCTTATTTGAGGCTAAACTCTGAAGAAACAACATTCAAATTCACAATTGAAGTTTAAATTTCAGTCAAGCAATTGCATTATAACTCTAATGTGGAAGATTTGCCCAAGAAGAAACAAGGCAACAAATCCAATCACTTGGTTCTTGGACCTGCTGCTGGTCAAGGCTTGAGAAATCGCCTCCAATGCCAAGGTTATTCAATTTCTTTATCAAAATAAATCAAATCAGATTCTTTTGTTCATATAATTTGATTAGATCGGATTTGGGTTTGGGTTTGTGTGGTTGTGTTGTTTACCAATGGTTTTTTCATCCGGGCAGGCATCAAAGCTCTCAACCACACCCATTCTTCAGCCTCTTCCCATGTGTCCAGTGGGGTTGATGACATTGCCTTTGTCACTGTCTTCACCATATACAACTCCACCGTTAATGGGCTCGCCGAGGATCAATTGTCACACTTGGTTACCGTTGGGAATGCTTCTTATACTAAAGTGGAGAGGTCAATGGCCATCTTGAATGTCTTCATTAACTTCATTCAGGTAATCGTTAAATAGAACATAATGGATTAGTTGCTCAATGTCCATTGTTTTTCTAACACTAAACAAGTACCATTGTGATTTATCATGTCTTTGCTAATTTCTAAAAGATCTTGGGGTACATGTTTGAGGTTTTGTGAGCTCAATATTGATATAGTGAAATTGCAACTGATGGAACGCGGATTTTCTAACGTGGTTTAAACAGAATATGTAGAAAATTGTATTAATCTCCCATGGCAATTCCACAATAAGGAGTGTGTTTTGTTCCCTATTTAAACCAAGGAATGACTGTAATTGAATGGTTCTATATTAGGATGTGCAGACTTTTTAGAATGGTAGGAAAAATTAGGGGTTTTTATTATCAGCAGACTTTGTAGTTTGGATTTCGTATGATACAGATACATGGTTAGAAGGAAGTCAATATGCTAATTTGTAAACATTTTAGTGTATGCTGTTGAAATTTTATTTATCATTATGAATTCCCAAATTCATGTCTGTACTTCATACTTGCAGGTATCAATGCCTCGGAGCAATGTAGTCATTCTTACTGACCCAGAATCTGATCTTTCAATGCACAGAAATGGGGTCACTGTACATCCAATTCAAGGTGAATATTCACGTGACCAGTTGATGCTTCAAAGAATCAGGTCTTACATTGTAAGAGCAAGTTATATTAATAACAAGTAGAAAAATCTCTTGTTTATCAGTAGCTATGCTTCTCAGAAATATTACATAGTTTATTTCATTAGTTAAGACCTCTCCTTTTTAAGGTAGGGGGTGCTTTAACATGAAATTGTTCCCATGTGTAATAGTGTATTTATCAGTCATAAGAAAAATGCTTTATTATGATGTTTGTTTCGGATTTCTGTGATTCAGACCTTCCTAGAAACAAAGCTGGAGGAGCTTTCTCAGAAGCAGGGGCATAATCGTCATTATATATTCACTGACTCGGATATAGCTGTGGTTGATGATCTAGGATACATTTTTCGTGAGTACCCGAATTTTC